CAGGCGGGGACCCAATCACAACTCTATAACAGTCTGAAAATAATCCAGTCAGTCAGTCAGAGGTCCAGCAGGTTCTTTTCAATATTATCACCTCATCTTCCTGGTTCTGTATCAGTATCTCAATGGACCCAGGTCTACAAAGAAAATCCTCTCAGTGCACTGGTGGATCTGATTCTGAAGAATCCTCCAGGGGTGGATGATTCTGACCCAGTTACTGTCCGCCCTGCAGCCTGGAGTTCAAATGCCGCTGCTTGTTAATGAACTCTGACATCTGCAGCCGTTCATCAGGAGAGGCGACGCTGATCCAGATCGCATCAGCAGGGCCTGAGGGCACCGTACATGCTCAGTGCTCCTCATAACAACACTCCCCTGAAGCCTCATTTATTAAACAGAGAGGGTCGTCTGTGTGCTCATACAGACACACTCCTCTGCATGGTGTCAGTCTGATCTGTGGGTTGCTGGGAAAGAGAATCTAAAACAGTCTTTCTTTCTCTGATATGTTGGATAAAAAGAATTTAATAAATAAACATTCCAGATCAGAGGCCTGTTTCACAAAGTAGATTTAAGAAACTCAGACTCAAATACTAGCTCTGAATTTATCTAACCAAAGGTTGGAAACCGGGTTTTAGCCATTATAAGTGGAGTACCGATTCAACAAGTTACCATGACAACAGGCAACAAGTGCGCCTATTTCATACCACTGGATCTAGAGATTATTTTTAAATGAAAGAGCAACAGTGCTACAGCTGCAAAGGAGAGGGAAATGGCTTGGGAGAACATTGCTGCTTGGGTAAGATTATATGAAGTCTCTATGGCAGGCCATTTTTACATTTATTAAAAGCACTCTCCTCTCTGTTGTTCCATTTGTAAATCACAAAAATAAGATTCTTCCTGGCCAAACTCACATTCCTAGTCAGAACTGTTATAAAAGATTTTTTAAGTTACATTTTTGAATTTCCGAAAGTAGAAAAAAATTGTACTAGTAAGAATGAAGTTTTATATTTCTAGTAATGTTTACACATTTTAAGTGGTTGTCATGTTATTTCTCAGCTTGATATATTACAGTATGTTTTTATGATATCTGATATGCATTTTCTTTGTAGTCAAAATGACACAAATTATGACCAGTAGCAATATAATGTTAACATCTGAAATATATTCTAGACATCCAGAATGTTTAATTTAGATGTTTTGACAAGTAAAATATTTTAGATATCAGAAATACATATTTACTCAAACAAATGAATATCTAAACAGCCTGCCATATACTGTTGTACGATGGAATTATGGTGGAAATTAGTATACTGGTAGAATGGCAGTGGATCAATGTATTATATTTAGGTGAACTCACCTGTCTGCAGGTGAAGATGAACTATAGATATGCTGTTCAAACAAGTAGAGCCCATGCATCATCTCATCTTTTGATTCTCTCCTCCATTACACAGTAAAAACTAAGTGGCTGTTTGACTGTGCAGTTGATTTCTATAATGCTGTTATCACAGATCATTGTTCTGTCACTGATATTCAGTTCTGTTAACTATTATTACTATTATTAAAGAAGTCTCTGTATTACTGCAAAAGTGAGGATGAATAAGGTTGTTGATATTTTTAATGGATTGTGAGGTGAAACAGTAGAGCTCAAAGACACATATCTGACTATGAAAGAACTATACCGTCTGAGATTCCTCTCCCTATAGATATTTAATTCTCTTTGAAATAATGCTGTTCATTCTTTAATTGGATCCTTGTTTAAAAGACGTGCTATTTTTGTGTTTGTAATATCTAATGTCAAATGGAAAATCAGACCTACTGACTGATTTTCCTTTTCTTGCAAATCTATGACAGAACTGTGCTGATTAAATCAGGAAATAAAACAACGTGATTGGCACAAGATTGGGTCCTCAACCTCTGTGTTTCCTCAACACAGGGATTGAGGAAACTCTCATTGTGAAACAGACCCCAGGACATGCATCACAGTGATTTCTGGTCCATCATCAGGAAGTTTTTAACAGCTGAGAAATTAAATGTTTTGTAGATTTAAAATCCTCTGGAAAAATAAACCTGAAAGAAGCTCCTGTCATGTCCTTAACCAGAGTCAGAACCACACAGCATTCTGGTTGTCCTCTGATCCTTATTAGTTCTGATAGTGTCAGACCGGATAAGTTTCAGCTCTGTAATAAGCTGTAGTAATATTCATCATGTCTTCGCCTTATCTAAATTGCTGATTACATGTGGCAGGACAACATGTTTGTTGTCTCAGACTGCTAACTGTTAAAGGGTCGGAGCGGATTTTGAGCTCAGAAATGGATCTTGGACAGGTCTGTCATGGATGATGGTCTCCTCTGCAAAAAAAAAAAAAAAAGATCTAAACATTTCTAAAAAAAAATCTTAAAATATGTGTATTTACCCATAATTGTAGAAGTTAATAATATAATCCGCAAACTGGAATTAGTATTTTTACCCCTAAAATAAGATAAATTTAATACATTTGAAATAAGTGCATTTTTTTTTATGTAAATTGCCTGCTTGCATTAGCAAAGTAGTTCACTTATCTGCTCAATTCAAGTAAAAAAGCACTTATTTAAAGAAAATGTACCATTTAGATTACTTGCAGTGTGATTTCACTCTGTAGTCATCATTCAGTTTGTTCAGGGGAATTCGGATCATTTACCCTCACTGATCTGATCTTATTATCAGATGTTAATGAGTCATCAGACTCAGAGGCTTCAGCTGACACCCTGCTCTTCACCATCATCTTCATCAGGAGTCAAACATGATAAAACTGTGATAAAACCATATCAATGCCTCACAGAGCAAACATTTCCCATTTTCTCACAGAAAGCTAAATATCAATAAGCAGTTATTGATCAGTTGCTACTTTGCCATCAATCTGTCTCCACACTTTTGGATGCTGAGCAGGAGAGTTTTGGACCATCTTGAAGAATGAATCAGGAAGCACAGAGAAAGCATTGTTAACAGCGAGTGCTGTTTGTGTAAATCCGTCTGTGATGAACAGGCGTTGTGATGCCAGAGGACTCAGACTCTGAATCAGAGCTCTGCAGAAACAAACAGCCTCCCCCCTGCAGCACCATAAAGGCTGCCGTTTGGTGATAATACGTCTGTCTGGAGAGGGACCCTTGAAGCTTCAAACGGTTTCTGTCTGTGATGGGAGATCTGCTTTCTCTCCACCAGTCAGGTTCTGTTCATTGAAGCTGCCACATGTTTATGATTCTGAACTCCAGTTATTTCAGTGAGGGAAATAAAACAGCATTCATTAAATATTCACTTCATCAGTTTAATTCACCACTCCTGTTTTTGACGCTACATAGATCTAGTGTTGTTTATGGCCCTTCATCTTTTTGAAGGTTTTTCTTTAGCAATAACAGACAGTGGTTAGAGATTAAATGCTTTCTCAATCAGATGAGCTCTATGTTCCTTCAAGCTTCATCTTTAGGTCTCCTTTAAAGTCTGCAGGTCTGGATTAAAGTAAGGGAGCAGCCTACGCTGAAAGATGACCTTCTTCAGAGGCAGTCAGACATTTTGGAGTTGGTTTTAAAATGTTTTCTTCCCAAAACAGAAACACAAAGAGGTGCTATAACGTGAGATTTATTTTACAAAATGACACATTTGCACAGAGCTTTGTGCAAACATGCAAATAAGTCTTGTTTTTGTGTTTCTGGGCACCTTTCCCCTATGTGTGCTGTAAAGAATAAATAATATGAATTCACGATTCCTTCTGCTTCAGGCACTAGATTCCAAATGGAGGATATTTGCTAATGAAGATATATAGAATAAATCTTTCATCTAGAGCGGAGGTCTTCAACAGGGGGTCCGCGGCCCCTAGGGGGACGGCAGAGATAATGCATGGGGGTGACAAATGTTTTGGTTGATTACACTTTTTTTTTATATCCCCCCCTGCAATTTTTTCCACTATTTGAAATATCTTTAAATCCACATTAACATGAATTCATCAGACTGTAGTAAACAGATAAATGGAGGCAGAAGATGTCTTTCAGTCATCAATGCACACATTCAGCGACACACAGGAGCTCTTTCAACCTGGGCACTGTTTCATTCTCAACACCTGTTCCATCAACCAGGAATAAGAATCAGAAATACCTTAATAATCCCAGGGTGAAATCACTTTCGTTACATTACTACAGCTGTAATAGAGTGGCTATAGGACCAGTTTGATAGAACACAATTTCATATAATATAATTAGGGGGTCCCCGCTCCATCTCGCCATCAGTTTGGGGGTCCTTGGTCTGAAAAACGTTAAAGACCCCTGGATTAGAG